TTTTCCCAGCCACCATCAGTTCTGAGGAAGGGTCACCGGACCCGAAATGTTAACTCTGTTTTCTCCTTCACAGATGCTGCCAGACCTGCTGAGCTTTTCCAGCAACTTTGTTTTTGTTCCTGATTTGCAGCATCCACAGTTTTTTTGGTTTTTATTAGCAAGGAGGATTTTGTTCGGTTAGTGAACTACGTGTACCTTTTATCTCGTCCAAATCTAATGTGGGTAGTCCGTCTGGTTTAGTTGTTTGTTGTGGGGGGCTGGTGGGTGAGGAGGTGGTGGTGGTTGATTCATACAACTGGAAACTTGCCATGAGTAATTTACATATGTAATAAAAGTTGTGTTTTGATCTCCATTTTGCTGAAAGAACAAAGAAAATTAGAGCACAGGAACAGGCCCTTCGGCCCTCCAAGCCTGCGCCGATCCAGATCCTCTATCTAAACCTGTCGCCTATTTTCCAAGGATCTGTATCCCCCTCTGCTCCCTGTCCATTCATGTATCTGTCTAGATACATTTTAAATGATGCTATCGTGCCTGCAAAGTTACAATATTTCTTTTAGCTGTCTTTTGAAGGCGAATTTAAACACCTGGTGAATTTCAATATTAACCTCTAACCAAATTTTAAAAATTATAACTAAAAAATATTTAGTACCTTTTTATGTCCAGTGTTTCCTCTCAACAACCGTGCACCTGCCAAGACTCCACTGTCCTGTGCACGCTGATTGACATGCCATGCATTGGCATCTGGTTTCGGAAGTTACTGCTCCCCATGGACGTCAGATGTCTGTGCATCAAGAGAATTGTAGGCACTACTGTTCATGTCCTTGGGATATGTCAAAGCAGTTCACAGTTAATGAATTACATAAATTTACGTTAGGATAATCTGTTACTGAAGTGTATTTGTGAAACACAAGTTCAGTTGTTCTTATAAAAACACGTTACTCCTATTCCAATTCAACAAAAAAAATTTTGCATGAATGCAGAATTGAAAAGAAAGGGTTGGAGAATTGTCTGAGTTGAATGCTATGATTAATACATGTCCTATTTTATATATTTACAAGATATCAAATTGGAAGCACAAATGTTTGAATGTTGGACTGTCAGTCACACGATAACTGTTTCTTGCTTCAACTGATATTTAGTTATGTTTGCTTTCACTGAAAAGAATGACTAATCTTTTGTCACAACACTAAAACAAGGGCACTCCAAATAAAACCAAAATAGCAAATTTGGTCATACACCACAAGGTCAACTTTAATTTCTCAAAGTAGGATGATTTTTGTCAATGAAGTAAAAGTCACAGATTTTTGTGTCTAGTCAGACTGTATCTTTGGCCTGGCTTTAAGGACATCAGAGCAAATTTGTTTTTTATCTGTTCGAGTCAATGAAAAAAGATAAACTTCATATAAATAATCCCTTTTTCTTCTTCATTCTGTACAGTGATAACAATGTCGTCATTGTTGTTGGAGAGACTGGTAGTGGAAAAACTACTCAACTAACGCAGTATCTTAGTGAAGATGGTTATTCAAACTATGGCATGATTGGATGTACTCAGCCCAGACGTGTGGCAGCTATGTCTGTGGCAAAACGCGTTAGTGAAGAAATGAATGTGAATCTTGGAGAAGAGGTAATAGTAATGGTCTAGTCTTTGCAATTGTAAGTGCAATTACTTATGCTCACTAGGGGTACACAACACTAACTTTCTTTATCCATTTTTTACAGTATCTATTATGAAACCTGTATGAAACCATGCTACCTGTTACTAACTAGTTTATTTTCTTCTAAATGTGCATATATCCAGTCTCTCCGTATCTTCTCCAAGAGCTTCCCCACCACAGATGTCAGACTCACCAGCCTATAATTTTCTGGATTATCCCTGCTTCCTTTCTCAAACAATGAAACAACATTGGCTAATCTCTAGTCCTCTGGAACCTCGCCTGTGGTCAAGGAGGATGTGAAGATATCTGTTAATGCCCCAGCTATTTCTTCCCTTGCCTTTTGCAGAAACCTGGGATAGATCCCATCTGGCCCTGGGGACTTGCCTACCTTAATGCAATTTAGGATACCCAAAACATCCTCCTTTATCATATTGATATTCCCTATAGTATTCACACACTCATCCCTGACCTCAACATCAGTCATGCCTTTCTCTTCGGTGAATACCGATACAAAGTACTTCATAGATCGTAGATCATAGAATCCCTACAGTGTGGAAACAGGCCCTTTGGCCCAACAAGTCCACACCAACCCTCGGAGTATCCGACCCAGACCCATCCCCCTGTAACCCACCTAATCTACACATTGCTGAACACTATGGGCAATTTAGCACGGCCAATCCATCTAGCCCGCACATTTTTGGACTGTGGGAGGAGACCGGAGCACCCAGAGGAAACCCACGCAGACATGGGGAGAACGTGCAAACTCCACACAGTCACCCGAGGGTAGAATTGAACCCAGGTCCCTGGCAGTGTACGGCAGCAGTGCTAACCATTGAGCCTCTGGTTCATCAGTGTCAGGATGGCTGAGTGGTCTAAGGCACCAGACTCAAGGAGTAAAGTCCTTCCGCCACTTTAAAGTATTGGCAAAGATCTGTAGCTCGGCCCATTTAAAAACCAGAAATGACAGTACTCACCATAATGGATCGGACAGTGTAAATTCCAAGCGGAGTAGAATAACATCACTTCATCGGAGGCTCCACTGATGATGTCACCTAGCACGGTGATGAAATGTCTGAACAAAAACAAGAAACCTCAGCGAGAAGTCAACAAACTCATCCTTCTGCTACTTATTAAGGATCTCTTCCACTTCCTGTCGCTCCACGCATAAGTTCCTTCCTTTGTCCTTGAGGGGGCCGACTCTTTCCCTTGCTACCCTCTTTCTTTAATATATACTTAAAAGCCTTGGGATTCTCCTTTAACCTGTTTGCTGAAGACATTTCATGGCTCCTTTTTGCCTTTCTAATTCTGCGTTTAAGGGCCTTCCTAATTTCTCTATACTCCTCAAGGGCTTTGTCAGTTTGTAGCTGCCTAGACCTTTCATATGCTTCCTTTTTCCTTTGACTAAGTTTCCAACTTCCTTTGTCATCGATGGATCCTGGATCCTGCCATTCCTATCCTTCAGTTTTGCAGGGACATGCATTTAATCAACTGGTCTTTAAAAGCCTCCCACATGCCAGACTCGGATGTGCCCTCAAATAGCTGCTCCCAATCCACATTTCCCAGTTCTTGTCTAATTTGGATGTAATTGGCCCTTACCCAATTAAACACCCTCACTCGAGGGCCACTCTTGTCCTTGTCCATGACTACTCAAAATGTTATGGAGTTCTGGTCACTAAGCCCAAAATGCTCTCCTACTGAAACTTCAATTACCTGTCCTGGCTCGTTCCCTAATACCAAGTCTAGTATGGCCTCCTCTCTGGTTGGATTGTCAACATACTGCCTCAAAAAGCCCTCCTGGACACAACTAACAAGTTGGTCTCCATCCGAGCCCCTGGCTCTAAGGGAGTCCCAGTCAATAGGAGGAAAGTTGAAGTCACCCACCACAACTACCCTGCTTTTTTTTACACCTTTCTAGTGACTGACTACATATCTGCTCCTCTGTCTCACGTAGGCTATTAGGAGGTCTGTAGAAAACCCCCCCAGCATTGTGATTTCACCCTTCCTATTTCAGAGCTCCACCCATAATGCCTCACTGCAAGATCCCTCCGAAGTGTCCTCCCTCAACACAGCTGTGATGTGATCCCTAATCAGCAAAGCAACTCCCCCGGCCCTTTTGTTTCCCTTTCTATCCCAACTAAAACAGTGATATCCTGGAATGTTAAGCTGCCAGTCCTGACCCTCCTTTAACCATGTCTCTGTAATGGCAATAACATCATAATTCCATGCAGTAATCCATGCTATCAGTTCATCTGTCTTACCTGTTATACTTCTTGCATTGCAGTAAATGCACTCTAGACTTCCAGTCCCTCTGAGCCCCATGACTTCCCTCTGCCTGCTCTTACTCTGCGCTATGCATATCTCAGTCTCTCTTTTGTCCCGAGTCCCTGCACTTATTGGCCTGTTGTTCTGGTTCCCAACCCCCTGCCACGCTAGTTTAAACCCTCCCAAAGAGCTCTAGCAAACCTCCCACCCAGGATATTAGTGCCCCTCCAGTTCAGGTGCAACCCATCCTTCTTCTACAGGTACCATCTTCCCCAGAAGACACCCCAATGATCCATGTAGCTAAAGCTCTCCCTCCTACACCAACTCTGTAGCCACATGTTCAACTGTACTCTCTCTCTGTTCCTAGCCTCACTAGCCCGTGGCACGGGTAGTAATCCTGAGATTACTAATCCGGTAGTCCTGCTTTTAGCTCCCTGACTAATTCCCTGAATTGTCCTCATAGGACCTCTTTCCTCTTCCTACCTATAATGTAAGGTATGATTTGTCTGGCTGGCGCGCAAAATAATACTTTAAACTGTGTCTCAGTATGTGTGACAATAGTAAATCAAACTAAATTGAACAGAATTGAATATTGCATGTTGAAGCCTCACTCCAGAGCCTTAAACAATTAATCTGGCCTGACAATTCAAGCAATACTGAGAAATATGTTGTTAACCTGAAGCCTAGCTTACCTTCTCGGGCAGATGTAAAACTTATAATCCTATTTCAAAAATATTTTGGAATATTTTGGAAATGAAAGTGACTATATGAATTGAACCTCCTCTTTTTTATTTCTTTGAGGTGTAGTCACTGCTATCAGCAAATGTAACATTCAGTTTACATCCAACAAAGTCCCACAAACTGCACTGAGATGAATGACAAAATTGTTTAGTTTGTGGTTTTGGTGGAGGAGTGAATTTGGACAGGACAGCTAGAAATCTCTGCTGCTCCTCTAAATAGTGCCACGGAATCCTTTATATTCGCCTCTGTAGGTAGATAACGCCTCAGTTTAAAATTTCCCTCCTTGCACTGAAGCCTAAATTGTGTGCTTAAATCATCAATTGGAACATGAACCTGTATCCTTCTGACTCAGAGGTGACAGTACTACCAATTTGACTACATTGAGCCTTGTAATGTGTGCTCGTGTCTGTGGGCAACAGATGAGTTTGTGTGTATACAAATTCAAAATGCTGACTACATAGACAAACCTGTGCTACCTCAGAATTATGACGAATGAGGAGGAATTTCTACTGAGGGGAGTGAACTTGTGGAATTCTTTGCCACAGAGGACTGTTAGGCTAGGTCATTAAGTATATTCAATGCTGAGATAGACTTATTTATAATCAGTAAGGGAATTGAGGGTTATGGGGAAAAGGCATTCAAGTTGGTGGATTAGTAAGTTCGCGGATGATACGAAGGTGGGTCAAGTTGTGGGATAGTGTGGAGGGCTGTTCTAGGTTACAAAGGGACATTGATAGGATACAGAGCTGAGAAGTGGCAGATGGAGTTTAGCCCTGAAAAGTGAGAGGTGATTCATTTTGGAAGGACAAACTTGAAAGCAGTATACAGGGTTAACGGAAAGATTCTTGGCAGTGTGGAGGACCAGAGGGATCTTGGGGTTCATGTCCACAGTTCCCTGAAAGCTGCCATCCAGGTGGATAGAGTTGTTAAGAAGGCGTATGGTGTGTTAGCTTTCATTAACAGAGGGATTGAGTTCAAGAGCCATGAAGTTATGCTCCACCTATACAAAAGCCTGGTTTGGCCACATCTTGAGTATTGTGCCCAGTTCTTGTCACCTCATTACAGGAAAGATGTGGAAGCATTGGAAAAGTTGCAGAGGAGATTTACCAGGATGTTGTCTGGAATGGAGGGAAGATCTTATGAGGAAAGGTTGAGAGAACTAGGGCTTTTCTTTTTGGAATGACGAAGGATGAGAGATGACTTGATAGAGGTGTACAAAATGATCAGAGGTATAGATAGAGTAGACAGCCAGAGACTTTTTCCTAGGGTGGAGGTAGCTATTACGAGGGGACATAGTTTTAAAGTGCGTGGAGGTAGATATAGGGGAGACGTCAGAGGTAGGTTCTTTACTCAGAGTGTGGTAGGGGCATGGAATGCATTGCCAGAGAGGGTAGTGGAGTCGGCCTCATTAGGGGCATTTAAGCGGCTATTATATAGGCACATGGATGATAGTGTAAGGTAGTGCTGGAGGTTAGATAGACCTTAAGTTTAGGGTAAAAGTTCGGCACAACATCGTGGGCCGAAGGGCCTGTACTGTGCTGTTATGTTCTATGTTCTAAGTGGAGCTGAGGATTACCAGATCAGCCATGATCTCATTGAATGGTGGAACAGACTTGATGGACTGAATGGCCTATTTCTACTCCTATGTCTTGTGGTCTTATGGTTATTGGAAACTAGATAAGTTTATCATCAAATCTTGACACTTACCTTTAAATGTTTTCTTCATTTCACGAATTATTTCCGATTCTTCATTTCCATCACTGTGTGCTTTATGTTTTGCTTCCAAATTGGCAGATGTGTGTTTCTGATAAAGAGCTGACCAAATAAAAATTGGATGAAAATACACCACTTTGAACTTTGTAATTTCAAACCATTTGGATGTAGACTGCATTCTTGGTGAATAAAACTAGCCTTGGATAACTGTTCACACAGAGGGATAAGCAGATACTAACAGGGATTGTCCAAATCATTGAATTATATACCCAAGTTTTTAAAGTTAAAACTGCAAATAAATACAAATTTTATCCAGTTGAAAGATGAGCAAGATTATTCTTACCTGAAAGATTTGGAATAATTCAAATTAGGATTTTAGTATGCCAACTTGACTTCCATTAACACCGTTATTTGGCCAGAAGGGCTTTTTTTGTTTGGATGAGTTGAGGTAATGCCTATTTTTAACAATCGTAAGATGATATGTACATTGCTGTATTTTAGTTTGTTGTCAGGGCTGTTAACAGTTCGGATATCTTTGTCTGTAAAACCTTTAATAAAGTTCGCTTTTGCCTGGTGGTATTTTAGGGGTTCATGTAGCAGTGGATTTAAATTTTGAAATTGTAGGAGTCATCCCTCTCGTATTTTATGTTTTCCGCTGTTCCTTTGTTTTTTTCTTTGTTGAAGAAAGGTAATTAAGAGTATAATGTATTCTAAACTTTTATATCTTTGTTCCATGCAAGTTTCCTTACCTAAAGTCTAGAATTTTCATCAAAGGAGATAAAGAGTCAATTTAAACAAAATTGAAGTGTCCTGAACTTGTATGTAAAATGCCTTCAGTTTAACTGATGAGAATCTTGCAAGGTGTTTCTTTTGAGGTTTCATATCATCCATTGTTATTACAAAAATGCACGTTTTGTGGTCTTTCTTTTCTAGGTTGGTTATGCTATTCGATTTGAAGATTGTACTTCTGAACAAACTGTCATCAAGTACATGACAGATGGTATTCTACTGCGGGAATCCCTAAGAGAAGCAGACTTGGACCATTATAGTGCTGTCATTATGGATGAAGCTCATGAGCGATCACTAAACACTGATGTACTGTTTGGCTTACTTAGAGAGGTGTGTATGGAGCCAAGACACTAAAGCTGCAGTTTTGAGGGAACAAACCCTTAAGATATTTTGCTCTATTTTTGTTTGTTAAGAATTTTCATATTTTGCGCCAATTTTTCCAATCCAGCAACATATTTATATGAAATGTAATTTCCATTCCAACATGGCATAAAATTTTTTCCAGAATGGCAATCTGGTGTACAAAAATGACATGAGGTGGCCAGCATTTATTTTTTCCACTATCCTTTCACAGAATTATTTCAGCTGAGATTCAGAAATTGTTGTGAGGTGAATCTGTGCAACATATATCCTGCCATCATCTTGTGCAGTATTTTACAAAGGTGATACACTGCATAACCAAATGCTTTGGTTTAATTTTTATAAAACAACTTCCACATTTTCCACTTACCAGTGAAATTAACTCAATATTTTGCTAACAATACCTAAGATGAATGGTTATTAAGTTTTATATTTGTTCAACTGGCATTCAGGTTTTTTTTTCTAGGTTGTAGCTCGTCGTGCAGACCTAAAGCTAATTGTTACTTCAGCAACCATGGATGCAGGCAAGTTTGCAGCATTTTTTGGGAATGTTCCTGTTTTTCATATTCCAGGCCGGACATTTCCCGTGGATATTTTCTTCAGTAAGGTATGATACCACTTGGAAATTTTTACTTATGACTGTTTTTTTTCATTTGATGATTCCTTTCTGCTATACAGTGCTCACACATTTTCAGGCTCTGTGGTCCACTATATTTAGATTTCACCACATGGCAATTACACATGTAGAGTCAATTAAAAGTCATTGTTGTGACTCTCGCTGTGAAATTCTCCAAATGCACAGCGGATGGGATTGAAGCCAGTAATTTGAGGTTGAACAGAGCCAGAGCAAAATGATCCCCTGCAATACCCAGTTTATTTTAGCTTTCCATTGCACCAGGCCTCCGGCGGGCTGTTATAGCATCTCCAGTATTATATGTTGGGATTTTTGGGAGTAATGAAGTGAAACATAAGACATTACGTATAAGCAGGAACTTGCGAGTAACTAGGAACTTAAAATAGAGTGTAAGAAACGTAAGAAAAACAAACAGGAGCAAGCCATTTGGCTGCTTAAGCCTGTTCTGTCATTCAATAACATCATATTTAATCAGATTTTGCTCTTAACTTCGCTTTCCTGCCTTCTTTCTACCTTTTATTCACTAATAGGTTAAAAATCTAGCTAGACCTTGAAATATGTTCAAAATCTACATGCCCTGTAATTTCTAACCACTATGCGGACCTCCAAGGTCCATGCATGGCAGTGACTGGAAAATTTGAAAGTGAATGCGTGGGAACGGTGTCGGCATGCTGATTAGTTTGTGCAGACCCTCAGAATGGCCACGCAGTCCTACAGGTTAGACTGAATATTGATCAAGGTCAATCTTCCATTGCTGTTTGTGATAGAGAATTCCAAAGACTAAAAACCCTCTGTATGGTTTCAAGATATGCTTTAACTTTAATTGTAATTAATTGTAATACCCATGTGGATTACAATTATAGACTCCGATGGGAGAGCCAATTCAATTGTTTTCTAATCCTGATTAGTTACAAGACCCATTTCACATGTCGGTGTGTTTTCACAGGTTTCCAAGAAGTTATCATTTGTCAAAATAAGTACAAATGAAATGGACACCAAGTTAATGGAGTACAGCTATCTTGTTCTATTCTGTTAATTGAGTTCTCCTTTTGACTTTCTTCTTTTGTGTGCTGAACCACTAAAAATCACTCTTTCCATCCACTACCCCCTGTGCATAATCAGTCATCTTGATAATTGACTTGCCAATGCGTGAACTGCCCGTGATCATTCCCAGGTTGGTTACACATTGCATACCCAATTCCAAATTTGTTTCTTTAAAAGTGACTGTCATCTTAGTGACATCACATCCAATAGTCTCCTGATTCATTCTTTGACATGCCGGTCACTGTAAGATCACCCCATTTATCACCACTTGTTTATAACAACCTGCCAACTTTTTACTTATTAACCAATAATGTGGCACCAATAAACAATTTGTGCATGAGTAGGAGTTCGTAATGATAACTCCCAGTGATTTAATATAGTTCCAAATGTCCCAACTGATGCATCTGAATATTCTGATATACATTGAAGTTTATCAATATTTTTAATTGAAAGAATAATTTGTTAATGCAAGACTTCACCATAACTCTGGTGCATAAAACAAGTTGACAAAAAATACAGTTACAATCTACTCCAGCAAAACAAAATCTACAGTGTTTATATAAAAGGAGTAGATGGAAATAAATTTTAAATATAAATCTTAAATCTGAGGTAGGAGAATACAGGTGGAAGATATAATATAATACATTCAATCATCTAAAAAGTCTGAATAACTATAAAACTCACTCAAAACTTAATTCCAATTTTTTTCAAAATATGTGCAGCTATAGTCTGTTACATTAAGTTACAAGACTAAACCATTTTAAAACATTGCTGATTCCTCAAACAAAAAACTTTTTTGTTACCTCAAAGGATATTCACATTTGTAAGCCTTACATTAGCTTGAGCCACGAAAGTCCCCATAAAATCAATGCCTTTGTACCGTCATTATACTAACCACCTTAAGCATGTCATACTGTTGAGCTGTACCTAACTTAATTAGAACTCATTCTTCAGTGGCATGTATTTTCTCATGTGACAGACACCTGTCCAACCATAGTAATCCATCTGAGTACAGGCCACACGCGTTCCAATCATTTATTCCTTAAAAAATGTCTTTGTTTTGTCTTTATCACATCTGATTTGGATCTAGTTCTGAAGAAGGGCCACTGGACTTGGAACATTAACTCTGATTGTTCTCCATAGATGTTGGTAGACCTTGGAGTCATATGGCACGGAAACAGTGCGGTTCAACCAGTCCGTGTCGACCATAATCCCAAACAAAACTAGTCCCACCTGCCTGCACTTGGCCCGTATTCCTCCAGACATTTGTTATTCATATACTTATCCAATTGTCTTGCTTTTTGAGCAAATTCTGTTTTTTGTATTTGTTTCTGATTTCCAGCATCCACAGTTCTTTCAGTTTTCTGATTTTGGATATAACCTGATTTAACTCCTCCTCCCACCCACCTTCCTGCAAAAATGCTATCCCCTATTCCCAATTCCTTCGCCTCCGCCGCATCTGCTCCCAGGATGAGGCATTCCACTCCCGTACATCTCAGTTGTCCTCGTTTTTCAAGGACCGTAACTTCCCCTCCTCGGTGGTCGAGAACGCCCTCAACCGTGTCTCCCACATCTCCCGCACCTCATCCCTCACACCCCGTCCACGCAATAAAAACCAAAAAAGAATCCCCCTCGTCCTTACGTACCACCCCACCAACCTCCGGATCCAACGCATCATCCTCCGACACTTCCGCCATCTGCAATCCGACCCCACCACCAAAGACATCTTTCCCTCCCCACCTTTATCTGCTTTCCGGAGGGACAACTCTCTCCGTGACTCCCTTGTCCGCTCCACACTCCCCTCCAGCTCCACCACACCCGGCACTTTTCCCTGCAACCGCAGGAAGTGCTACACCTGCCCCCATACCTCCTCCCTCACCCCCATCCCAGGCCCCAAGAAGACTTTCCACATCAAGCAGATGTTCACCTGCACATCTGCCAATGTGGTATACTGCATCCGCTGTACCCGGTGTGGCTTCCTCTACATCGGGGAAACCAAGCGGAGACTCGGGGACCGCTTTGCAGAACACTTACGCTCGGTTCGCAACAAACAACTGCACCTCCCAGTCGCGAACCATTTCAACTCCCCCTCCCATTCCTCAGACGACATGTCCATCCTGGGCCTCCTGCAGTGCCACAACGATGCCACCCGAAGGTTGCAGGAACAGCAACTCATATTCCGCTTGGGAACCCTGCAGCCCAATGGTATCAATGTGGATTTCACAAGTTTCAAAATCTCCCCTCCCCCTACCGCATCCCAAAACCAGTCCAGCTCGTCCCTGCCTCCCTAACCTGTTCTTCCTCCCACCTATCCCCTCCTCCCACCTCAAGCCGCACCTCCATCTCCTACCGACCAACCTCATCCCGCCCCCTTGACCTGTCCGTCCTCCCTGGACTGACCTATCCCCTTCCTAACTCCCTACCTACACTCACCTTTCCTGGCCCCATCCCCGCCTCTTCGACCTGTTTGTTTCCTCTCCACCTATCCTCTCCTCTATCCCTCTTCTATCCGCCTCCCACTCTCTCCCTATTTATTTCAAAACCCCCTTCCCCTCCCCCTTTTCTGATGAAGGGTCTAGGCCCGAAACGTCAGCCTCTCTGCTCCTATGATGCTGCTTGGCCTGCTGTGTTCATCCAGCCCTGCACCTTGTTGTCTCGGATTCTCCAGCATCTGCAGTTCCTACTATCTCTTAAAACAAAAGCTAGTGTTCAACTAACTTTACACCTTCACACATTGGCACTATAAAGGAATATATAACTCTTGTGAGGATTACTAAATCCTTAAAATAAAGCTTTCTAAGAACTTCTCCTTTCCCATAAAACAAGATTTTGCTTCACCTTTATATCATTATTTTTGTTGACCCTCTTTCTTCCCTCTACTTCTAATTTTGTACAAACTTTATATTTCTTTTAAAATCTCGATCTCCAGTCCATCACCCAGGTAACCAACCGTAATAAATTGAACTATTGTTCATTATTACTTTACCACAAATGATCTCACTTAATGTCCCATTGTATTACATCAGTATTGTCAATTCCCAAGCTGTTGACATTTAAGCACATACATTGAAAACAATAAGACAAGTTTACCTTTACTTAACCTTGGGAAGTGATGGCCTAATGGTGTTATAGATAGTCTGTTAATTCAGAAACTCAGCTAATGTTCTGGGGACCCAGGTTCGAATCCCGCAATGGCATATGGTGTAATTTGTAATCAGTAAAAAATATCTGGAAGTAAGAATCTACTGATCACCATGAAACCATTGTCGATTGTTGGAAGAACCAGTTTGGCTGACTAACGTCCTTCAAATAAGAAAATCTGCCAAGCTCACATGGTCTGTTCTCCATGTGACTCCAGGCCCAAAGCAATGTGGTTGAATTTGAAATGGCCTGGTCAGCCACTCAGTTGTATCAATCACTATGAATTCTCAACAGAGAAGTGAAACCGGACAGACCAGCTGACATTGACCGTGGCACTGGAAGTGGTAACAGCAGAAACAGCCCTTTGATCTTGCAAGGTCCACCTTACTCACATCCAAGAGCTGGTGCTAAAATCAGAAGAGTGGTCTCAGACTAATCAATCAACAGCCTGACATAGGCATACTCACGGAATCTGACTTTACACAGGATATCCCAGACACCAACATCACCATCCTGGATATATCCTGTCCCACCAGCAGGATAGACCCAGCAGAGGTGGTGGCACAGCAGTATATTGTCTGAAGGGAGTTGCCCTGAGAGTCTGCAACATTGACTCTGGATGCAATGAAGAGTCACGGCTTCAGGTTGAACGTGGGCAAGGAAATATGCTGGTGATTACCATGTATAGTCCTTCAGCTGATGAATCGGTACTCATCAATGTTGAATAACACTTGGAGGAAGCACTGAGAGTGGCAAGGGTGCAAAATAAACTCTGGGTGGGAAATTTCAATGTCCACCACCAGCAACAGCAATACTGATCTTGCTGGTTGGGTCCTAAAGGGCATCGTCACTAGACTGGGTCAATAGCAGCTGGTGAAGCAACCAACAAGAGGGAAAAACAGACTTGACCTCATCTGACTGCAGGTTTTCAGTTATAAGGAGAGGCTGGATAGGCTGAGACTCTTTTCACTAAAACACAAGTTTGAGAGGTGACCTGACAGAGGTTTATAAAATCATAAGGGGCACAGATAAGATGAATAATAACAGTCTTTTCCTTAAGGTGGGAGAGTTCAAAACTAGGGGGAATATTTTAAAGATGGGAGGAGAGAGATTTTGAAGGGACGGGAGGGACACCTCTTTCACACAGAAGGTGGTTTGTATGTGGAATGAACTGCCAGAGGAAGTGGTGGATGCAGGTACAGTTACAACATTAAAAGACATTTGGACGGGTACCTGAATAGGAAAGGTTTGGAGGGCTATGGGACTAATTTGGTTTGGGAAACGTGGTCGGCATGGACGAGTTGGACTGTAGGGTCTGTTTCTGTGCTGTATGTCTCTGTGACTCTTGCATTCAGCCAGCTGCAGATGCATCTATCAATGACCGTATGAGAGTGACCACTGCCCTGTCTTTGTGGAGACCAAGTCTCGTCTTCACACGGAGAATACCTTCCAATGTGTTGTATAACACTATCACCGTGCTAAATGGGACAGATTTTGAAAAGATGTAGCAACTCCTGACTGGGCATTCATGAGGTGTTGTGGGCATCAGCAACAGCAGGTCCACTTCAGCATAATCTGCAACCTCATGGCCCAGCATATTCCCACCCTACCAGTACCATTAAGGCAGGGGATGAATCCTGGTTCAATGGAAAGTGCAGGAGAGCATGCCAGGAACAGCACCAGGCATACTGTATAGTTCTAGATGCCACATTATAGGAAATATGTAAAAAGCATTGGAGAGAGTGCAGAATGAGATTTACAAGAATGTTTCCTGGAATGGGAAATTTCAGTTGTGAGAGGATAGATTGAAGAAGTTAGTTCTGTTTGCCATGACTCGGAGACAATCTAATAGAAGTTTTCAAAATCATGAGGAGTCTAGATAGAATAAACAGGGTTAAAGTGTACCAGCATGTAAAATAATCAAGAAAAGAGGAGACGGAGTCATACAGCACGGAAACAGGCCATTTGGCCCAACCTGTCCATGCTGGAGAGGTTTCCTAAACTGAAGTGGTCCAAGTTACCTGCATTTGGACCATTATCTCTCTAAACTTTTCCGATCCCATGTCCTTTCTAAATGTCTTTTAAATGTTGTAATTGTACCCGCCTCGGCCACTTCCTCTGACAGATCATTCAGACAGCACTCCCTAGAGCCCTATTATTATTTGTGTAAGTCCAAATCTGGTTTGTCTTACCAAAATACAACATCTTGCATTTATCTGAATGAAAGTCTATCTGACATTCCTTGGCCCTTAGATTTAAAGTGAATTTGAAAAGAAGTAGTATTATGTGAGGGAAAAAATGCATTTGTACAGCGAGTGGTTCGGATCTGTGATGTTATGCTGGAAATGTGGTGGAGTTAGGTACGACAGAGGTATTCAAATGGGCATCGGATGATATTTTTCTAATCAAATAATGTGCAAGAGTATGGGGTAAAAGCAGCAGAATGGTACGCAGTCACAATGCTAATTTTGAGAGCTGAGTGGCCGAATGACCTACTTCTGTATTTCTTTTTTTTCATTAACGGGATGAGGGCGTCGCTAGCTAGGCAGCATTTTATTACCCACCCCTAATTGCCCAGAGGGCAGTTCAGAGTCAACCACATTGCTGTGGGTCTGGAGTCACATGTAGACCAGACTAGGTAAGGATGGCAGTTTCCTTCCCGAAAGGACATTCGTGAACGAGATCGTAACACTTCCGTGATTCTGATCATTCTATGGGCAAATGTAGGCCACAAACCATGTTCTTTCTTTATATCTTCATTGTCTCCCATGAGTTCTCCATTCATGTTCACACTGTGCCTATCCTAGGTCAAAACTACAGATTGTCACTGCACCTGACTCTTCTGTTTTGGATTTGATTATAGCTATACTTATTGCCAGCAAACACTTTTGCCTGTTTGCAATTTTCTTTAAAGATTTTTGCAAAGAAAAAGCTAGATTTAGTTTGCAGGCAAACACTCTCACCGTAGCAAGTGGCCTGTTAACATGACAATATATTTGTTCCGCGATCTGTATAATCTGGGTGATTCCTTTTCTCAAAAATGACGGAAAGTCAGTCATTTCAAGTCACTTTCTGACTTGGAGAATGAAAAACCATTGAATTCTGACTGACTTCAAATAGTTGGACCAAACATCTTAATGATAGTTACATTTTCTAATTTTAAAAGGACGTTTATAATATGTCATTGCACAGGTTATCACATAGTTAACTGCAAGCGATGGTCCAGCTTATTCATTTCGTGATCATGCCGTCTGTAAATTATGCAATGTTTCCTTCGCCATATTTCTTAAGTTTCAAGAATTTGTAGATAAAATAAACATTTATGGCATTACTAAAGACCATTAATACAAGTTAGTTATAGATTTCAACTTTATTATCATTATATATTACCAGACTATCTTATTCCCTTATAAATAGTTTTCTGTGTAAGTGTTGCTTATAGAGTACTTTGTTGTTAATTTTTAGACTCCCACAGAAGATTATGTGGAGGGAGGAGTTAAGCAGGCTCTACAAATTCACTTATCAACTATTCCGGGTGACA